GTTACATGATCTTATGAAAACACAAAAAAAATGAAAAAAAATTGTAATAAAATAGTGAAAACAATTCTATCCCTTGCTTATAAACGCTACGCAAAAGCAATTTGGTGACAGAGCAGGTTTGACTTAAAAGTTTCCGCCAAGAATGCCAAGCGGTGCCGAAACCGTGAGCATTTCCGTAAGTGCGTGCGGGGTCCTTCTTTAGGACTGGTTTTGGTGGGAGAAAAAGAGATTTCTTTCTTCGGTCTATTGTATTAGCCCTAGAGTGAAGAGAAATGAGCATTCGCACATGAAACATCGTTTAGAGCGTTCGATTCCTTTTTTTAATCTTTTCTCGTTTTCAAAAGCTTCTGTTTTAGAAAAAAAATCAACAAATTTATTTGTGTTGTAAATTTTTTATTTTATTTTTCCTCTTTTAACTTTTTTGAATTTTGAGAAATGCCTTTTAAATTTAAAAAAAGGTGAAGCTTTAAAATCACAAGTGCGTAAAATTCTGCACAATGTGTTAAACATGTTTTGCTGATGAAGCTAAGGAAAAAGCCCTTAAATTACTTCTCCATCAACCAGCTCAAAGAGCATGACAAATGGCTGCTATCGTATTAATAATTACGTGCGAAACCTAAATTTTACACAGTTAATCAACATCCTAACAAACAAAAACGGACACAAAAATACGATAAATTATTAGTCATAATTAAGAAATTCATTAATTATTAAATTTAATAACTTGATTAAATTGTCCCTTTTTATGTTTCAGCTCTCTTTTGATTTTCATCGATACTATTTGTCCAAATACAATGACAAATTGAAATTGTTATTTCTATGAATAATGATTGATAAATAGAATATGTATGGAAATTGTATAAAATTGTTTAAAGCAGATCAATGTTTTATTAATAAATAACTCACCTATAAATTTATCACACATAGTAAATTAGTTATTAAGAAAAAAATAAATGTGCTAATAAAAACTGTTTTTAATAAATAGTGAGAAAAACTATACAGGTTACAATAAATACGAATAAGAAAACGTAATTTAAGCAAAAAAAAACTTAGATAATTTCAGATGGTTTGATAGGTGCTGATAAAAATCATCGTTGATAGTTTTAGATTTCATCCTAGTTGCGGTTACTTGCTTTTCAGTTTCAAAAAAAAGAAAATAAATAAATAATAAAAACAAAGATATTTATGTGGCTGAGTCAGCCAATCTGGTATACTTCCCATACAAACAATCATCGAAGCTACCCTCCCTAAAATGCCCTCTTCTTCTTTCTATAGCACCAGACTGCCCCAGACTTTGTGGCGGTCAGAGTACCTATCGTAGACAAACAGTAGTCAGATGATATTTCTGAGAAAAACTCCTATTCCATTTTGCTACAACAAAAAAAGTTTCTCACCAGTGAAAACACAAACAGTAAAGACAGCTTTGGAAAAATTAAAAACTTTTTTTTAAAAAATATATTAAAAGAATGAGGTTTGTCACCAGTATATGAATAAAACTACAATAAATTAGATGGACCTTAAGTGAAAAAAAAAAAGAAGAAAACTTTTAAAACAAAACAAGAATATGGCTTTTAAATAGCGTGAACATGACTGTTAATAGTTCAATAATTCTTTCTTGAAAAATTTTAATTACATATACTACATAAGTAAAGTTTCTCACTACTATGAAGATGACTATGTTGAGTCAAACCACCTCTTAATGAAAAACTTGTTACATATACAACAAGAATTAGGCTTTCCACCAGCATGAACACGACAGTGTCTGATCAGACTACCTTTAAGTGAAAAAATGTTATTACACACACATATATAATAAGGCTTCTCACCAGTGTGAACCCAACAGTGTTTTCTCTGATAACTTTTTAGTAAAACAACTTTCATTACATTAACTACAAGAACAAGGTTTCTCCCCAGAATGAACACGACAGTGTTTACTCAGAGTCACTCTATGTGAAAAACTCTTATTACATATTTTACAAGAATAAGGTTAGGGGTCTGAATGAACACGACCATGTGTAGTGAGATGACTTTTTCGTGAAAATTTTTTATTACAAATACTACAAGAATAAGGTTTCTCACCAGTATGAATACGACTGTGTTTTGTCAGATTACCTTTCAGTGAAAAACCTTTCTTACATATACTACAAGAATAAGGCTTCTCACCAGTATGAACACGACTGTGCACTTTCAGACTACCTTTTAGTGAAAAACCTTTAGTACATATACTACAAGAATAACGCTTCTCTCTAGCATGAGCATGACAGTGTCCATTTAGATGCCATCTTTCTGAAAAACTCTTATTACATATACTACAAGAATAAGGCTTCTCACCAGTATGAACACGACTATGTGCAGCGAGACCACCTTTTTGTGAAAAACGCTTTATACATATACTACAAGAATATGGCTTCTCACCAGTATGAACACGACTGTGTCTAGTGAGATGACATTTTAGTGAAAAACTCTTATTGCATATACTACAAGAATAAGGCTTCTCACCAGTATGAACACGACTATGTGCAGCGAGACCACCTTTTTGTGAAAAACGCTTTATACATATACTACAAGAATAAGGCTTCTCACCAGTATGAACACGACCGTGTGGAGTGAGATGACTTTTTAGTGAAAAACTTTTATTACATATACTACAAAAATAAGGTTTCTCCCCAGTATGAACACGACAGTGTTTATTCAGAGTCACTCTTTCTGAAAAACTCTTATTACATTTACTACAAGAATAAGGCTTCTCACCGGTATGAACAAGACTGTGTCTTTTCAGACCACCTCTTAATGAAAAACTTTTATTACATATACTACAAGTATAAGGCTTCTCACCAGTATGAACAAGACTGTGGTCTTTCAGATTACCTTTTAGTGAAAAATTCTTATAACATATACTACAAGAATACCCTTATGAAAAAATCGAGGTATAAATGAGGAATAAACGAGGTATATTTTAAAGGTATAA